GTGCTGGGGGATTGAACCGCGGTCCCTGATGCTTTGCCAAGCTTGTTCTAAGTAGGTGCCTTAGACCACTGAGCCATCTCTCCAGCCCCTTTAATAGTTTTTATTTAGTTGGGTGTAGTGGTATACACCTGTAATCCCAGCTGCTTGGAAAGCTGGTGTAGGAGGATCATAAGTTCAAGGCCAGGCTGGGCAATTTTAGTGAGACCCTCAAAATAAAAAAAATAAGAGTTAGGGGGACAGCTCAGTTTTAGAGGGTTTGCCTAGCATATATGGGACAGTGGTTCTAATCTTTATTATGATCAGAAAAATCCCAGCTATTATTCATCTAAAATTTTATCACAAGTATGCATAGTTTCACATTTTTTTAATAGCCTATTCTAGTTATAATCCTACTTAATGGACTTAAATCTGTACTTTTTTTTTTTTTTTTTTTTTTTTTTTTTTTTAATAGAAAGTGACTTTAGCGATGATTTTAGTGATGATTTTGTAGAAACTCGGCGAAGGCGGTCAAGGAGGAACCAGAAAAGACAAATTAATTACAAAGAAGATTCTGAAAGTGATGGTTCCCAAAAGAGTTTACGACGTGGCAAAGAAATAAGGCGAATTCACAAGCGCAGACTTTCCAGTTCAGAGAGTGAAGGTAAGCAGTAGACCACCCATATAAACAGAACAGGGACAAGGCAGCAGTGGATGTCATAAAGTCAGGGTTATGATTTATGTACTTTTGGTTCCTGATCACTAATAATAGTTCAAATAAATGTCACTTGGTAAGATTTTGATTTAAGTCAACCATTAAATTTTTTTAAATTTTATTACTTTTTTTGAGACAGTCTGTGTAGTTCATGCTGGCTTTGAATTACTGAATAGCCCAGACTAGCCTCAAATTTATGGTGCTCCTTTTTTTATTCATTTGTTTTCGTGTTTTTGAGACAGGGTTTCATTATGCTGGCTTGAACTCGCAGAGATTGTCTTCTCTCACAGGCACAAGCTAGTCAGCAAAACTCCTGCCTCAGCCTTCTGAGTACTGGGATTACAGCACGCTCCACCACACTCAGCTTTATATTTTTCATTGAAACTAATAATCATAGCAAATTGAGGTCTGCTTTGTGGTTTATTCTGTTCCTCCCTTTTCTGCCGCCTTATTCATGGTCCTCACTTATTAAAATAACTTCTTATGCTCTGAGTAGCTGAACAGTTTCAAACCAAATCATCTACTAACTCTCTTCTTGCTTGTCATTAACTATCTCATGTAGTAGTTTGGGCTATGCCACATACCAGAAATACAGGGGAAGCTGTAAAATACAAACTTGTGATACCTGTTTAGTCTTTGTAATTATTACCGAGTTATTTCCTAAGTTTGACTTTTAATTCTTTTGTTCACATTATAATTTTTACTAGTACATGTTTGCAACGCATTATTACATTCATCATGGGGAGTTGGATCCCAACCCGTTGTCTGTCTGTCTGTCTGTCTCTCCCCCTCTCTCTCTCCCTCTCCGCTTCTTTCTGGGTGGTACCAGAGATCAAACTCAGGACCTTGTGCTTGCCAGGCAGGCAGGCACTTAAGCCACCAAGCTATCTTCCTGGGCCATCCCCCTTTCTTTCCTATACAATTAATTCTCACATCATCTGTTTTAACGATTTTGTTTTTGTGAAATAAGAGTTTGAGTGCAAAGCACTCAAGAAAAGGGTCTAAGTATCTGGGTGTATGAGGCTATAAAAGGGGGTGAATGTCTCTTTGACATTTCTTTACCTTCATGTGTCATAAAGACAAATGTTCAACCATTAATTCAGTCACTAAATACAGTATTTATTGAATCAGTCCCTTATTAGTGCTAGGAATTTATTGGAGAATAAACTTAAGCTTCATGTAACTTACTTTTTAGTAGGAAAGGAAGAGACAGTAAAGGAGAGATAGTAAAGGAAGAGATAGTAAACCAAATACTGGTTGGGGAGAGTGGTGTGTATATACAATCCCAGCACTGTGCAAGGCTGAGGGAGAACTGAAAGTTTGAGCCTTACCTGAGCAAGTTCATGACCACTGAGAAATACTCTGCCGCAGAAATTTTTAAAAGGGCTAAGGGTGCAGTTTAACATGAAGTTCATTCCCTAGTACTGGGGAAAAACAAAGTGATACTGACAGAAAAATGTGAAGACCTTGAGGCAATTTGGTAGCTGGTATTTTCAGGGAACAGAAGAGGATCCATGGGTGCTAGAGCTAAGTGAGGGGAAACAGCAGTAGAGATCACTGGGTGCCAGATGGTAAAGAAAAATCAGCGAACACAGGCCTCTTGTTTGCATGACCTTCTTGCAATTCAAGTTTTATTGAAAGATGACCATAACCACCCATTTTAAGTTGAAAATCTGTCAGAGATCAGAGCCTGCTTTTCCCAGAAAAATGTATAATTTCTGATGGAGAACAGCAGTCTAATTGAATTTCTGCGATGATGGGAATATTCTGTATCTGTATGATCAGTACAGTAAGTACTAGCCTCATGTGGCTATTGATCACTTGAAGTACAGCTGGTGTGACAGTGGAACTGTTTAAAATAATTACATGATAAATGTCTTGTTGGATAGCACAGAGTAGAGCACTGCACAGACTAGATTTTATTCTGAGTGACAGGTGAATCAGAGGATTATGAGCAAATGAGTGACATCCTAGTTAGGTTTTAATTTGTTGAGAAACTTGTATTATGAATAAATTGAAGGGGACAAGGGCTGAAGCTTAGAGACCAGTTAGGTTACTGAAATAGTCCAGGTGAGAGATAATATTGAGCAGGACTTAGGCAGTAGCAGTACAGGGGTGAAAAATTGGTAGATTAAAGGTATTTTAAAGGCAATTCAAAAGGATTTATGTATGGGTTAGAAGAAAACAATTCTAATGAGTACTCATAACAGAATAGCCCAAAACTAAGTTTCATGTAAGGAGGAAGTTTTGGAGCTCAGTTTTAGTCACATTAGGTTTTAGATGCCTGTTATGCTATTTAAACATAAATGTTGAAGTTTTATATGGAGCCTAGAATTTAGTGATTGCCCCAAATTAAGTAAGAATCATCAGTAATAAGTGGGTATGCAAAGCTATGAGACTAGGTGGGATCACTTATGATCTAAGTATAGACACAGGAGAGATTCACTAACTACCATGGGCATGTTACAAAATAAGAATTGCACAGTCTTTTTGATGTGCAGCATGGTGTGCCCAGTATTAATCTTTCCTTATGTTTATGTGATTCCTTGATTGTAGACCTAGTTTATGTTTCCCTGATTATAGTTTCCTAGTTTGTGTGATCCTTACCCGTCGTCATTTAATTCAAGGACCATTACATTTCTTCCCTAGGAAATCTGCTCTTTCCAAAAACCGTATGTAAAGTACACTATAAATCATATTAGGTATTATTATGTTACTGAGAGAAATCAAGTTACTGAAGGGAAATATTTAAATATGGACACAGGGTAAAAGCAGAACATAAGAATAAAAAGAGATAAGAAAGGAGTATTGATTGAATTCCATTTATGGTTAACTGTGCCATTAGCTTAAATGTGCTGTTTGTTCTAGAGAGCTATGCATCCAAGAACTCTGAAGATGATGAGCTAGCTGAAGAATCGAAGCGGTCAGTTCGAAAGCGGGGCCGAAGCACAGATGAGTATTCAGAAGCAGACGAGGAGGAGGAAGAAGGCAAACCATCCCGAAAACGGCTGCACAGGATTGAAACGGACGAGGAGAGCTGTGACAATACTCATGGAGATGCAGACCAGCGTGCGCATGACAGCCAGCCCAGGGTCTTGCCCTCCGAGCAAGAGAGCACCAAGAAGCCCTATCGGATAGAAAGTGATGAGGAAGAGGACTTTGAAAATGTTGGTAAAGTGGGGAGCCCTTTGGACTACAGCTTAGTGGATTTACCTTCGACTAACGGACAGAGTCCAGGCAAAGCCATTGAGAACTTGATTGGCAAGCCACCTGAGAAGCCTCAGACCCCTAAGGACAACAGCACAGCCAGTGCAAGCCTCGCTTCTAACGGGACAAGTGGGCAGGAAGCAGGGGCACCAGAAGAGGAAGAAGATGAGCTTTTGAGAGTAACTGACCTTGTTGATTATGTCTGTAACAGTGAACAGTTATAAGACTTTTTTTTTCATTTTTGTGCTAATTTATTCCACGGTAGCTCTCACACCAGCGGGCCAGTTATTAAAGCTGTTTAATTTTTCCTAGAAAACTCCACTACAGAATGACTTTTTAGAAGAAAAATTCAACAAGTTCTGAAGTCTTTCTGTGAAGTGACCAGTTCTGAACTTTGAAGATAAATAATTGTAAATTCCTTTTGATTTTCTTTTTCCAAGTTCATGGTCCTTGGTAATTTCATTCATGGAAAAAAATCTTATTATAACAACAAAGATTTGTATATTTTTGACTTTATATTTCCTGAGCTCTCCTGACTTTGTGAAAAGGGTGGATAAGAATGCATTCCATATATGTGAGGGCCAAAACAGAATTTAGGGGTGGGAGAAAGCACTTGTGCTCTAGCTTTTCATATTAAATATATATTATATTTAAACAGTCATGGCATAGATGATGATTCACAGACCATTTAAAAAGTCTGAACTGTTGCCTCCTTGAGAATTGTAGATAACATCCTACATAAGTCATTTAGTAATAATAGCCTTCGTGAAATCAACTTGTTTACTATTGGAGTTACCACACTTTAAATAAAGAAGAGACCGTGAACATACCTTCATAAAAAAAACTTCAACCTAAGTTTCTGTTATAGTGGAGTTCCTTGTTAACAAAATCATCTGAAAAGCATTTGAACAGTAAAATCAATAATGAAGCTTTGACAACCAGATTGTGCTAGCAACAAATTTTTTTAAAATAGCTTTATGAAGTGATAAAGGTGGCCTTTATATACTATGTCTGATGGGGAATTAGTGAAATAAATGTGGTCTTTCCTAATACCTACGTGGACTGTAAACATTGCCAACAGTATAATTCTTGTTTTCTGGCCACGTGTTTTTAAACATCTGAAATTCATTTCAAAGAAATACATCTATATGTAACCTACATGAAGAGATGCTAAGCTGTCAGTGGTGTTTTAGCACATTTAAAGACTGGGAAGGGATTTTCAGGTGAATTTTAACTGGTCTATTCTTGCCCTTAGTATCTACTTCAAATTGAAGTCTACAAACAAAGCAGTTCCTTTGGGAGGTTTTTAGTTTGAGTTTTAGCATGTGTATATGTGTATGTGTGCCTGCGTGTGGGTATGCGTGTTGAATTTCCTATCTGCCTGGACATAATAGCAGGGTCTGAATGTAGTTTTAGCCTTAGGTCATTAGTCTCCTATTAAAATTCATTAATAATCACACAGCCAACATAAAGTTGAATGAGAACCACCAATATACTTAATTAAGCATGTCATCCATCTTAAACATCTCAACACTTTAAAGGGTAAGCCCTTTCTTTCAAGAAAAGGTGGTTTGTAACTAAGTATTTAACATGACTGACACTAAAATATTAACTTTATCTTCAGTTTCTGTTACAGCTATAAAATTTCAGGCAGAGCCATAACGTTGTACAGAGTATAGCACTTGTGAGTAATCCTTTCCTGTCACATGTTGACTTCTATAAGTACTATTGCCCTGGGATTTGGGTCTATCTGTCCCAGTGTTGTGTCTGTTGCCGGCAATGGACACGCTGTATCTGCTGCTGGCCCAAGGCATTTTCTTTTTCTTTCCAAATTAAGCATTGTATGTGCTGATCAATGTATACTAAAGCACTTCTCTTATCACACAGCTGGCATTAGACTTGCATACACCTAACATCTTCGTGTTCTGACTTTTCCTTCGTCAGCAAGTGTTGCCCTTAAGTCTTACCTGTTGGCCTTGAAAGTTTATAGCTGTTGGTTTTCAGGGTTTTTGTTTCACTTTAGTTCTATAGCACCTGCCCATTAACATTTTTGCTATGATTCTAGCTATCTTTATGTATCTGTATAAAAAAATAAAATGAAAGCAGCCTAAAAATAGGATGCAATAATAGCATATGGTTCCAAGTCACTTGTGAATTTTGAAATGATATTCACTGGAAGGGAGGAAAGGCAGTGAAGCAAGGCTGAAATGGGGCCACATTCGCTTACTAATCATCCTTTCTCGCTTGGTTTGTTTTATTTGAAAGCTTAAGGATTTTAAACCTCTTAAAATATATAAAACAGGCAGGCAAAAGGATTCCTACTATGTAGTGTAAGGTAAGTGGTTTGAATGTACAGTGGCCTCTCCTGCCCCACAATCTCCCTCTATGGTTTAGCCCTGCAGCCAGGTAAAGCCACTATGATGTAGAAACTCTGCTCTGTCTCTACCTCTGGACACACCAGCTCCTGCTTCTACCTATTAGCTCTCCTTAGTTAAGCAGGTCATCACTAATGTTGAATGGGAAGGTAATTTAACAGGATGCTTAACAGATACAGGGAGTTCTTTACTACCCTCCTGCTGTAGAAAGTTGTAGGTAAAGACTGAATATTCCATTTGGCAAATATCCACTGATAGGGGTTATGAAACCACTTATGCTGCCTGAAACTTAACAAACTTTTAAGTGTTTATCAACTATGGTTCATCTAACAAGAATTCAGGAAGCTAATTAACATGCTATGCAGATAGATACAGCTCTGCTGCCTTTTTTTCTTTTTCTTTTTTTTTCTTTTTAAGCGGTGGTGGTGATGGTGGTGGTAAACCTCCTGCATGCTAGGCAAGCACTCTACCAATAAGCTAAGTACCCAGACCTGGTTAGTATTTAGATGCATTTCCACAGAGTCTGTTACCCCTCAGATATAGTTATTCTGAAGAAGTTTGTTAATGTTACATTTAAAAAATTAGAAAAGAAGTGTTCTGTATCCAAAGACACTACCTTGATTAGAATAAAGGAAAAAATTCATGTAGATTATAGACCATCTTGGATCCTTGTTAGGGCACTAGCCATGGATTTAGATTCACAATAGTTGCTATATAATAGATCCCTTTAATATAAGCTTTTTTTCAATACAAGTTGGGCTCCCAATGTCAAACTCTAGTTTACAGCAAATGTATTAAAGGGAGATATAGTTTAGTATTCAGAGTTTAATCTGCATTTTCTCAAACATCTGATAATTAGCCAAACGTTCACAGTGCAAAAGCTTTGGATTGAAATATTACAATGGAAAGAACTAAGACTGATTCTGTACATTTGTGTTGATGACAGTGTTTAGTGTAAAACCTTTTTCGATGTCGTTCCATTACCGCAAAATGACACCAGACATATTTTCAAGAATACTGAGGTTGGTTGGTTTTCTTTGGCATCCTTTCTAATTGGTTGAGTTAAAGATTCAACGAATAAAGAGTTTCATTTAGAATAAATTGATGTCTACTGGTAATCTTTTAAAAAAAAAAAATCTGCCGAAGAACCAAAGAGTTTGAATGCTAATGAAGTTGTTGGGGGGGAACACTTTTAAACAAATTAATTTTAAAGAATATTACTTTAAAAATTATAGAATATTACTATCCAGTTTTCACTTTTGGTTGCTACAACAAAATGTCATTATGTGTTTCATTTGAGGTTTAAAAATAAGAAAATGCAATTTTTATAGAATATTACTATCCAATTTTCACTTTGGGTTGCTACAACAGAATGTCATTATATGTTTCATTTGAGGTTTAAAAATAAGAAAAAGTAATTTTTAAAGTGGGAATTTCATTTATCACAAGAAATTAGAAATGTTAACTATTCACTAGGCTGTTCAACAACACAACTTTAAAGAACCTAATGAATGTACAACTTTAATACTCAGAAAAAGTTGTAAACTCCATTCTTTAACAAGAGTAGGTCTTTAATTTATAGTGTTGCCTCGCAGCTTTTAGACAAGTATTCCAAAACCCAAATCTCTTCAAGTGGAGTATGTGTGCATACCTATATGTGTGTGTGTGTGTGTGTGTGTGTATGTGTGTGTGTGTGTATATATATATATATATATACATTTTAGAAATTAGAAATAATCCTTCAATAATTTCTTATTAAAAGAAATACAAATAATTGCAACTGATGAAAAATTATGAATATTATATAATTACACAAAGTAGAGTATAACAGTTTTTCTTGTTGGTTTGATATTCTCTTGTTGGTTTATATATTCTTAGTTCTCCAAGAAGCGGAAAAGCAGAGAACACCAAGGCTGTGTAACTGCTGTAACCTATCTGGTCCTCCTTTCTGCATAACATGATTAAATTCATAGGATACAATCTATTCCTATTTTATCCATCATTTACAGTATATACTTATAGACCTACCTGGAAGAAGCAAGTGAACTGATTTTTGTTTTCATTATTTTCCTACCAATCTTGAAAGACAAGGCCTTCTGCTATCAGTATGTTTAGACTGGGTTGTTTACTAATTGAACGTATAGTTTGTAATATTTCACTCCAATAATTTAACATTTTTTGAGTGCCAAGAATTGCAATACTGAAGTCATTCCCAAATAAAGACATTCTAAAATAGTTATATAACCACTTAAGATTGTACACTTAACTTTTTTATTCACATAGACTTCTTTTAGAAGTTGACTAGAATAGGGTTATGGTCACCTTACTAGGTTTTTTTTCCCCTCAGTTTGGCCATGTAAGTTCCAGTATTTTAAAAATTTTATATTTATTCTGATTTTCTCTGGGAAAAGCTGTAAACCCAATTCTGGCACATTATGGAGGTTTCAATTAACAAAGATGTTATTTTTACATCTTTTACATTATTTAATAACTGTACAGTACCTTAAACATAAGTCACATGAGGGCATAACAAATCATTAGATTGGGGAGAAATTAAAATCTTTAGATATTATGAATGAAAAAAGTTTTTACAGGCATTACACTTGTGGGGTTTTTTTGCCAAAGCAGACAAATAAGAAAAAAAACCTAGGACTGAATAACCTGCCTTGTTCTTTTTGCCACTGGATTATGTAAATTAAGAGTGGAATTGCTAATCCTAACTATATTTTCTTGACTTTAATCAGTTTCTAAAGAAATCTAATTTAAGTTGTTTTGAGGTTTTGTTTGATCTATATTTATTGAGTTCTGGTCATAGACTAGGAGCCTGCATGTTGTGCTTACTGACAGCCAGAACATAGTCACTGGGGAACTTCATGGCTCAAAATCTTCTGAATAGTTTTAACTTATTTTGTATGTTGAAAAAAATAAGAAAAAAAGTTTATTTTGCTTGAGTCACATTTTTTTATAACTGTACAGCTTTTAAGGGATGGGAGGTGGGAATATACCCTAAAATAGGATGTAGATTTTTACAGTTGTGTTTATGCTAGACCATCTACAGGTGCATTATGTAATTAAACCTAAAATTATTTAACAATATGTGCCATGGTCTTTTTCATTCTATTGCCCTTTAGTAGTTTTGGTGCATGACAATATTGTTATATGGACAGGCCTTGAAATTAGACTAAAACCTGTCTCCAAAGCTTTAAAATCTTGCATGAAAATTATACCCACACGTATGTGTAGACACATCTGTACACACAGATTGAATTTGTATTAGTGTAAATGGATTTTCAGGATCAGAACAGCTATAGTAGCCCAAATTTGACAGCTAACAGCATATTCTTTCAGTGCATGATTTTGTGATGCCTAGCTAGGGTATTCTCAATGTGGGTCTGGTGTTCTCTTATCAAAATATCCTCTTGATCACAGTATTTGAATAATAGCTTACCCAAAACTGCCAGATTTTCTGTATGCTTTCCTGTGCTAAGATGGGGTAGGGGGGTGGGTCAGGGCTTGGTTTCTTTTCTG